AAGTTGCTGTAAAGATTAAAAGAAATAAATGAAAACCTGTAACACTGACCCTTGCACTAAATAGTTCTTAAATAACTATCGGTCTGTTTGAAAGCATTCAGCATAGTGCTTATTTATGTTCTATTTTTAGCAACTTGTGGGTCATAATAGGAACAGTACTACTTGTTCCTACTGCTGGTGATAATGGGCTAAAGAACTGTTTCTTGTAGCTTAACTCTTGCAACTAATAATAGTAGTTTGAAGATATTTAGCATTCTGCCAGATTTGTGCATTCCATTTTGGGGTATCAATCTACTGAGGACACAGCAGTTATCTTCTAAATTAATAAATACTAAGCCAAAATTAAACTTGATATTTGTTGACTTCTAAGTCAAAAACAGAACAGTGCAAATGAGCACAATCAATTAGTTTGTTAACAGATATACAATAACTACCTAATGTTTTAAGCATCCCAGTAGACACTAGGACACAGCTAAGGAAGACTATGAAAATTTAGTTACAAATTTTATGTGAAGTTTCTCCTAATCAAAGACTCTGTTAAGAGATTTTAAAAAATAGTATAGGTAAAAAGTTAACTGTTAAGATGTCTAATTTAAAAAATCAAAAGAATAAGAAAAAAAGAGTAGAGTTGAAAGCATTATGAAAATTTGCGGAAGGCACCTAATTTAGCCAATTCCTAAAGCTTTAGGGACTGTTTCTTCTGATAATTATGCTACATGTGGTTGGGTTAGAGTACACACCATACAGAGTTCTGATATTTGTTCTTTATTTTTACTTTCAGTAGTTTTACTCTAATTTTAAATTACTTTGTTAATTAGAAAATTTTCTAAATAGTAATTCTTAATTACTTCTAATTACTTTTGTAATTTTAAATTATATTTTTATCATAAATGATTTTCCTTTAAAGATGTAACTATATGGAATATAGTTAAACATCATTATTTATATAAAATTTTCCTAGCCCCACACCCCACAATCTAGTATGTATTAATTTGTGGTGAGAACTATTCATTTGACCAACAAATTCACTAAAGTAACTTTATTAAATGAAAGAAACTTGATATTTTAATGAAATTCTATCAAAAGTCTAGTATTTCAAAAAAGAACAATGCAAAAATATTGAAAAATACATTAGTTCTCAATACATACGAGGGATCCCTACTTGTTGTTTTCTTATTGCTGGACCAATGTTCAGTTTCTTATCCTTATAATTAAGTTTTTCAGCCTAAAATAAGAAAAAATAAATTATTTTATTATCATTCTTTGAAAGCATCAAGGCATAGTGGAAAGGGCAAAGTCTTTGGACTTAAATAGATCTGGGTGTGAATCTTGGTTCCAATTTTCTGACCCTAAGTTCTCATCTGGCAATTTACCAGTTATTAGTGTGAGCAGAGAGATGAAAAATTTGAGTCACCTGACACAATGGTCCCAGCTAAGGTCAAACAGGGTGACACTACGTTTTCTTGTTTCAGCTTTTATACTGTAAACAAGTGTTCTTTTCATATTCTATTTAGTGACACGTTTTTTAACACTTTTGTACTTTATGTCGGTGTTTCTGCTATTTAAAATATCCCTCAAGTGTAGTGCTGAAGTGCCTGCTGGCTAGTGTTGCTAGTGCAAAGAGACTGTCATGAGCATTAATGGAGAAAAATCTGTTAGTTGGGTTTAATTCAGGTATGAGTTATAGTGCTGTTGGCCATGGATTCAATGTTAATGAATCAGAAATACACATTAAATATAATGTCTTTAAACAGAAACACACATAAAACAAAGTTATATATTGATTGGCTGATGAAAATATTGTGACCAGAAGCTTGCGGGGGCCTAGCCCTGACTTCTAGAAGTACTTCAATATTCGCTATGTGGTGACTATAGAACACAACTACTACAAATAATGAGAATTGACTGCATATGACAATAAAATACAATTCAAGTAATATTTTTTCTTAAAAAATTAAATGTTATGCTTGCCAGATTTAAAGTTATTATACTGAACTGCAGGCTACAGACTTTTTCTAGGAATGCTCTTAGTTTATATAAAGTTTTTCATAGGTGGGAAATAATCTCAGCTAACTTCACTCTAGAAATCCACATTTGTAGTGGTTTTTCAGGAATTTAAAGTGCTATTAACACTTCAGAAAAGATACATCCCTAAATGCTTAGTTTAAGCAAGTGAAAAATTATATTACAGCTTCACAACCATACTTATATAATCATTTGGAATTTGTTTTTCTGCAGATAAAGTTTTGCTTTAATCTTTCTTTTATT